TGGTGGGGGGGGGCGGGGGGGGGGCCCCCCCCCCGCCCCGCCGCACCATTCCGGCCCTGACAGCCAGCCCCGAGCATGTCGTCCCGACGTGAACACGCATGCCCGCCATGGCGTTACCTTGGCGTAGACCTCGGTCAGCGCCTGCCCCAACTTCTCTGGCTCGCCTCGCAGTATGACCGTCTCGGAGGCGCTGTCCGAGGGCGGGATCTCCACGGAGACCCCCGTCCTCTCCAGGATCTCCTGCAGCGAGTTGCCCTTGGGCCCGATGACATACTTGTGCTGGGACTTCTTCACCTCCACCGCGATGGTCGTGGTCTTCTTCTTCTAAACAGGAGCAGTGCAGGGGAAGTCAGGGGTGGGCACAAGGGCGGGGCAGGGGTGACAGGGCATCATGGGCCCCAGGCCCAGACACAGATGGACTTCCCAAAGTGAAGCCCAGGACTTGGAAACACCCCGAGGAGGGGCTCTTCTGCAGTCCAGTGACCCAAGGCTGGAAACATCCACTTGAGGACCTCAAGACCCCAGACCACCCTCCCGCTGCAGTTCACCAGCTCGAGCTTCACCAAGTGTGAACACCTCCCAGCCGTGCACTCGCAGGGAGGCAGCCCTGTCTGCAGGCTGCACGGCCACAGGCCTGGGAGAGTCGCACACGTCCTGGACAGGACAGTGACGACGGCGCGGCGCCCGGCAGCCCAGACACCAGCGTCCTGCTGGGGACCATAGCAGCAGGGGCAGGGCTGGGCCTGACGACACCCCCTGCCCGTGGAGGGCCCCCGAGGGAGCACCTTCTCCTCGTAGATCTTCTTGACACGCGCCACAGCCTGGGCCAGCTGCTCCTTCTCCCCGGTGAAGACAATCTCGGTGCGGTTCACGCTGGGCGGGGGGATGTTGATGCGGGTACCCGTCTCCTGCATGATCTCGCCCACGAGCCTGTTGTACGGCCCAGCGATGAAGGGGTGGAACGCCTTCTCCACCTCCAGCCTCTCCACTGCACGCTTGTCCTGGCGGGGACAGGACGGCACCGTGAGAGCCCAGCCCCAAGACGCGGAGTGGGCCGGGCCCCACCACGGCAGGACGCGGTCTTGCCTGCTCGGCGGAGATGAGGAGGACTTCGTGGCGAGCTTTCTCGATGCCCTCTTTGGTGCCGGTGATCTTGATCTGGTTGCTGGGGTCGTCCGGGCGAGGGATCTGGATTTTGGTTGCGGTTTTCAGCTCTAAGTCTTGCAACTTCTCTCCGTTTTTGCCAATAACAAAGCGATGGTGTTCTTTGGGAATGGCGACAGTGGCTGAAGCCTGGGTAGGCAGAAAATGACGACGCCTGCAGGTTCTGAAAAGCCAGTGCTCCACGCCCCCAGCTGGCTCCAGGCCAGGGGAGTGCGGCCCCCACGAGGGACAGGAGCAGGAGGTACAGCAGGAGCGACAGCAGTGAACACAGCACCACACTCACTCTCATCACGGAAGGAAGAAACCCAGAGGGCAGGCAACAGCCTTAACGCACACGCAGAGGCTAGGATGCCCTCGTAGGAAGACGCCAGGTAGGAAATGGGTGAAAGGGACAAGGGACAGGAGCCAGGGAGGCCCCAGACAGCAAGGGGTGGGCGGTGTGACAGAAGCAGGGGACGCCCTAAGGGACCCAGAAGGTTTGAATTGTGAAGATGTCAATTCTCTTAAGGTAATCTTTAAGAATTCACATATTTTCAAACATTAGGTCGATTATCAACTGCAAAATCATTTCTGGAAAACCAGGATGAGAGCAATGGTAGGAGACAGACCAGCAGAGACGAGGGCCCAAGAAAGCGCTCCACGGGCGTGAGCGTCTCGAAGGTGACCATCACGTGGAGAGGGAGACTGGACCTCCACCTCGCCTGACCAGCGGTCAATTCCGAACAGACCAGGGACTGACCTGGAAAGCTTAAGGAAGTACGGGCGAGCCTTCCTACGACCTGGGAGGAAGAAAACACTCCTAGCGATGACTTGGGGTAGTAAACGACGCTCGTTAAATGTGACACTCGAGCCCCTAAGAATTGAGCAAGACAACCAGGTGGCGTGGACATGGTGTGGACACCGCGACAGCCAGTCCTCACACAGCCACTGCACAGTTCGAATCTCAGGCCGGGCGGGTGTGCAGATCCCGGAAGGATGGAAGAGAGTGCTGTGGGTAGTTCCGGAGGGTGAGCTCGGTCCTGCTGACCAGAAGCGCTGCTAGAGACACTGCTGGCTGACAACTGCGTGACGGCCGGGTGTGGCCCCGAACACCCTGGACACGTGTGCAGTCACCTCCTGCCCACCTGGGGGGGACGGTGAAGCGCACACACGCATCACGTGCACTGACATGCCGTGTAACCACCTGGGCTGGACACGCCGTGCTGAGACAAGCCGACACACACAGGGCGTCACGCTGCTGCCCGAGGAGCCGGGAGAGCCGCTGCTTACCCTAAGACACCCAGACGGCCGTAAAGGGAAGAGTGAGGCGCAGGACGGGGCCTGGGCAGCTCATCTCTGCGGCCGTGCTCAACACCAACTCGAGGGCGGACGGCAGGAGACGAAGACACCCAGCTAGCTCCAACTTCGCGACCACGCAAATGCTGACTGTGGATGTGGAGTGGCATGTACCACGTAAGGCCACTTTAGAAGGCTCCACGGAAGACTGGCCTGAGACAGCTTTCTGTCAGAAATTCAGAAGGTTTACGGCAGTAACGGACGCTCCGGTGAACAAACAGGGAGCTTCCCTCTGGCCACAGGAGACGGCGTCTGCCTGGGCACATTGAAGACCTCGGATTCGGGGCTGGCAGGTGGCGAGGTGGTTAAGGGTGCTGGACTCCCACAGGGCCGACCAAGGTTCGAGTCCTGGACCTGGTGGCAGAAGCACAGAGCGCACACCATTCTCACCCCCTCCTCTGTCCCTCTCTGGTCAAATTTAAGTGAATAAATAGTTAGATAAAAAAAAATTCTTAATAAAAAACAACTCTGAGTTCATGATGACACTACAAGACTCACTGACTACCACCAAGATGCCAGACTGCCGATCCACTGGAACCTGTCGAAGCGAAAAGGACCGATGGCTGCTTGGATTGCCCACTCACTGTGGGTGCAGTGACACTCCCAAGAAGGCCGGCGGGCGAGGAGGGACAGAGCCAGACCACCACCACCTGTAGTCCTCGCAGTGACCGTCAGGTGCCGACAA